TATATCTCCCTACAGTGTAACCACATGAGGGCAGGGATATTTGTCTGTTTTGTTCATTGTTGACTCCTAATCCCTTAGAACAGTGTCTGACACACAGGCATTCTGTAAGTATTTGTTGAATGAGTGTTGAGTGAATGAATAGTACTATTAAACTGTTCATGATTAGGAAATATAAAGCGATTTGCCAGAAAGTTAAAAACAGCTGGAATGTGTATGCTAAGCAACCATAAAATGAATATTCTTGAAATCAGGAAGTGTATAAACATCTCAACAGTTCTTTCTCAACATACAAACTTTTAAACCCTGAGGACAAACCAAGCTTTTAAACTCTGTAATTGTTGCAGTTTTAAGTGGAAAGAATTTTCATGTCATTGTTCACCATGAACTAGAGAGGAGCATGTAGTATTAAAATGTGAAATGCCTGTCTTGCCCAATTAGATAGTACATGTGCCCAGCTGAGAAGAGGAGGGAGCCAAGTTTTAGAAAGCATTCTTTCAGAGTTGGGCATAGTTGGATAATAAGGGTAGGTGAGACGTTCTGATTTCTGGTCCAACATCTGGGAGATTGCAGAAGGTGGGAAGTTCTTAAAATGCCCTGAGGGGAATGAGAACCCCAAGGGAATTCAATCTGAGCAGGTTGCTGTGCCTTAATATAATGTCTAACTGCCTGCTGCACAGCTGGCCAGCAGATTTACTGAGTCTTTATTGTAACTTAACAAAATTTTCAATTGAGCATCCTGGAATTTTCTCCTAGGGGATGCAGCTCTGATTTTTATCAAGGCAGTTTTTGGTAAAAGATGATTCACTTAAGTAGGTGAGGTATGTACTGTGTAGCTAACTCTGCCAAGATGCATGTTTCGTAAGGTGAGGCAATGCTGAGATGTCACTTTTTTTGCACAGGCTCCGGATGCGCAGGCTCAGCGGCCACGGCCCACGGGCCCAGCCGCTCCGCGGCATGTGGGATCCCCCCGGACCGGGGCACGAACCCGTGTCCCCTGCACCGGCAGTCCGACTCTCAACCACTGCGCCACCAGGGAAGCCCACTGCTTCTAACTTTTATTAACACATCACTCAGTGCACCTATGATGAACTGTTCTTTTGATACGCTTGAAAATATAATCAGTTACATTTCTAAAATGTATATACAGCAGCCAAGGGATTAGTAAAGCAGTATAACCTGAAACACATGTTAAGTAAATTCTGTAGCCTGCTATGAATCATAGAACAGGTGAGATTTCATAGAGAAATCAAGGAAGGGGCCTTAGTTGATTGCTTACTTTGTAGCAATGAGGACAGGGTAGAACTGCACTTACTCCTTGTGTTCAAGGAAAGAAAAGAGTGATCAAGTGTCAACACTTTCATATTAACTCCTGCTGTCTCCAATTCTGCATGTTCAGGTATCAGCAATAGATCTATTTAGATTTTGTTCAGTATAACTGAAGAATCTGGAAATTCATTTAAAAAACACACGGTGGCCAAAAGCTGATTCCCTTTGCTGCCATGATATGAACTGAGAGTTTAATAATGTGAAATTCCATGGATGGTAGTAAAATTTACTTCCTTACTATGCTGCCTGTACCTAATAGACTGGGCCCTCTGTTTTGTTTGTTGATATGCATTATTTTTTCCAGTCATGTTGGGTTGGGGGATTGAATAACAATTTCAAGCAAAGGTACCTCCTTCAGTGGGAGAGTAACTGAATAAATATTTTTTTCAGATACAACTTTTTCAATAGTGGGAGATAGAGGCTGAGTTTGGAAAACTTTATCCTTTTCCTTTTATTTCTCTCCTTGGTTATTATAAACTTTCTCTTCCCCCCTTTTAAAAAGTTTTTTTTCCTACTCCTTAACTACCAGTTCCTAAACAAGTGTCATGTTCACTGTAATTAAATTAAGGTCATAGAACACTAACTGGAAGCAGCCTTACAGGTTAAAGTGATTGACTCACTCTTAGATTTAACGATTGAAAAACCCTGAGGCCTAGAGAAGCTGCAGCATTTACCCATTTATGGTGTGACTGACACAGAACTGTAGTCCAGTTTTTCTGACTCCTGAGCCAGTGACCTCTTGTGGTCCCTTTTGCACATTGAAAAGAAAGCATGCCCCTTTCTCTGTTTTTTGTGCTTCTGTATTTGACCTAATTCCCTATGCCCATCTCTAGTATCCCATGGTTGGGATTAAGTAACAATGTGGGCATCACTGTCTTCTGAATACTGGTCAAACCTAGTGTAATTTTCTTTATTGTAAGTTTTTCGATACCAGAGTCTTGGATATTAAGTGTGGTGTATTCCTGAGAATTAGTTTTGCTCCCTTAAGATGGTCTAGCAGTGTGCTCAGAGAACACTGAGATCCAGTGACCCACATGTAGATCTGTGTGTGTGGAGACTGTCTAGCACAGAGCAAATACTTTCTTAGCCTTAAGTAATTTACAATCTAATGGGCTCTCTTGAAGAGGAACTGCTATGATGTAAATATAAACCATTCAGCTCTTATTCTGGTTACACTTGTTTAAGAAAGATAGTGATATGGGCTTCCCCGGTGGTGCAGTGGTTGAGAGTTCACCTGCTGATGCAGGGGACAAGGGTTCATGCCCCAGTCCGGGAGGATCCCACATGCCGCGGAGCGGCTGGGCCCGTGAGCCATGGCCGCTGAGCCTGCGCGTCAAGGCCACAACAGTGAGAGGCCCGCATACTGCATAAAAAAAAAAAAAAAAAGATAGTGATTGTTATGGTATAAATATTAATCTTGTAATTTTTAAGATCCTATTCATTAAGTTGTATCAGGCTGAATATAACATTTGATTTAATAAGTAAAAAGTCATAAGGAAATTAATTAGAAAATATTGCTGTTATACTAAGTAATGATTAATTAGATGCTTTAGTGCCCTCAGGGCATTCTGGCATGAGGGGAAAAAAACCTGGGTTCTTGCCCCGGCCTTGCCGCTTATTAGCTTGTTTATGTTGGGTAACTAATTTAACCTTTTTGGAGAAATTCATTTTTTTAATAGACACTATGCATTGTTTTGAAAATTAACAATGTGCTGAAAATTATGAACATGTTTTGGGGCAATCCAGATATTTTCATGCTTAGTATTATAGTTATAGCTATGATGTATTGACCTCTTACCATATAGTAGTACTCCTTAGCCTGGCCAATTGTCTAGGGTTTTTTGGTAAAGCACAGAATATAATATATTATTTGGAAGCACTTTGAAAATTGCAAAAAGCAAACCCCAAAATTATCCAGATGTATGGAAGTAACTATCTTTCCTTTTCCTCTTTCCTCACTTTCTCTGTTCCCACACTCTCTACCTTTAAGTTTAAGGGGAAAGAAAATCCAGTAGCAAGTGACAATATGAATGCAAATTCATTTGTAATGGAATATACTTTTAATCCTCGGTTTCTGAGGATTAAAAACCTCTGAGGGGCTTCCCTGGTGGCGCACTGGTTGAGAGTCTGCCTGCCGATGCAGGGGACGCGGGTTCGTGCCCCGGTCCGGGAAGATCCCACATGCCGCGGAGCGGCTGGGCCCGTGAGCCATGGCCGCTGAGCCTGCGCGTCCGGAGCCTGTGCTCCGCAACGGGAGAGGCCACAACAGTGAGAGGCCCGCGTACCGCAAAAACAAAACAGAACAAAACAAAACCTCTGAGGCCTTTTGTTGCCCTCTGTCTGCACCATACAGTTTTATACTTCTATGTATACAGAGATAGCTAGGTATTTATTTCACCTTTTTTTTTTTTTTTTTTTTGCATCCCTCCACCCTCTGTATTTACAACGCATAGAAGATATTCAGTGTTGAGTGATTGGATCACCTGGTACACTTATAATGCGCACTAAGGTCTTCTATTGTTGTATCATGCCCCTCACCCCCATCCTTAGCATAGTAATGGGTGTACAGTAACCTCTTAATATATACACCTGTTGGTTTGACTTGGGACTTACAAGTAGTGTAGCAGCTCTTGGATTTACTGACATATTACCCTTTTCCCACTTTTTTTAGGAGGGGGATACCTATTACTGTTGTGAGCCACACAATTTGAGAAACACTGTAGGCATGTACTGCTAATGTTGCTGGGCCGCATTCCAGCTGCCCCAGGGGGACCCCAGCTCGCTTTCATTGGAAGTCATGCAGGACACACTATGGATAGCAATTAGTGAGTCATGGTATTAGAACCAGAAGAAACCTTTGAGCACATTTTAATATTGCCAAACTTCTCATTTTGTAGCTAAAGACTGATGTTTACTAAAGGCATTGGTGGATGGGCACCGACTTTTCCCTCCCAACTGTTTTAGGGCAAATAATGAGTCATTGTCACTGGTCACTGGTCCCCATGCAGCAACTATGAAGTAGCTCAGATAAATAAACTCTACTGAGAGAATTTAGGACAATTACACTTATGTATAGTCAAGGCTGACTACTTTGGCAAATTCATTTTGTGTAAATCCCAGAGGCTCTTTTATTATTATTTCAAGAAGATTTTTATGAACAAGGATGAAAAAAGTGCTTTGAGTCTTACTATTTAATAATAGGCCATCAATGCTGAGACAGTCAATTAAAATATTTGACTACAATAAAATAATAATTGCTACAATTCGTAGTGTGTCGTATATGCTGAGCATGCTACAAACCTGTCATTATCAGAGGTAGCTGCTTAGGTAGGCTGGGGCAGATGTAGACAGAGCCATAAGTTCTAGGTGTAGCTGATTGGACTAGGGTACACCCTGGGCAGCCAGTAACGATTTTTTTTGTTTTTTGTTTTGTTTTGTTTTTGCGGTATGTGGGCCTCTCACTGTTGTGGCCTCTCCTGTTGCGGAGCACAGGCTCCGGACTCGCAGACTCAGCGGCCATGGCTCAGGGGCCCAGCTGCTCCGCAGCATGTGGGATCTTCCCGGACCGGGGCACAAACCCGTGTCCCCTGCATCGGCAGGCAGACTCTCAACCACTGCGCCACCAGGGAAGCCCTGATTTTTTTTTTTAATTAAAAGTGATAAAATCATAATGTGAATTGAAAGAAAATGGCAGTGGGAATACCAGTTGGGAGACTATTATAGTAGGCAGGTGAGAGCTACAGAAGACATGACATAGTTGTGACTGTGGGTATAGGGAAGGTTCTGCACCTCCACATTGGAGAGATTTGGGGTTATAGTAGGCAGAATCTCCTTTACTGAAGAGATCTAAGGAGTGAGTCTAAGGGAAGATGGGAAAAGAGGAAGCAGACAGGACTTGAGGATTTTCAGCTAGGGCATAGGAATAACCATATGCCTTAAATTTCACACATGAGATCCTACTTCAGATATTAGGTCTTAATTTTTAATTTCTTTGAATTATCTGTGTTATGTTGATTCAGGAAAGTTAGGGTGACTGGGAGAATGGTTCATACGCTTTCTAGGGGTTAACTGCATTTAGAAACCGAACAATTCTCCAGTAAGTAATCTATACAGTAGAGAAGCTGTTGTCTAATCCTAGAGGCTATTTCTGTCTTTTCTCTCCATCATCCTGCTCTTTGAGGAGTGAAATACATAGAATTGCTCTTTAGTTGCACATGCATTCCTCTGCCTGGCCACTCATCCCAGCCAAATCTCCTATTTTCCATACTAAAGGGTATAAAACATTTGTTTTGTTTTCTTCCATCATAAAAGAATACCTATTGCTCTTTTAAAAACTGGATATTTTAATATAATAAAAATTATCCTGTGCTGGCTAATTACTTAGAAAGGAAATGAAAAGAAAATCTTCATAAATGTGGCTATTAAGAACATTTCAGACCCAAGTGTTTATGTAATTTCTTCCATTTGCCATTCAGCCATAATGGGTTTCTAGATAAAAACGATGCTGCCCAAAGAGTCATTTTCAGGGAGGGATTGCTGCTAATAGAGGAAATTTGTGTCCCAGCTACAATGCAGTAATGTAACTGTCAGCAATTTACTAAATAATCAGGTGTGCCTGGCACGTTATTTTTGTAGCTCTTGTATGAGCATGTTTAAGGAAAAAAAATAATGCTCTTCTGATGTGTTGTGTCTCTTTGCTATGAGACTGACATTACACATAGGTATTATCTTCATTCTCTGTTCCCCATCCTTGGAAATTTGAGGGCTTTCTGGCTGCTAGTAGAGAATTCTTTACAAGTTGTTTTGTGGGAGCCTTAGAGGTCCTTGCTCATTCTAAGTCCCTCCGCAAGATACTGCATTATCCATGCAGCTTATGAGACTCTAAACTACCTTATGCAAAAGAAAAAAAATTACACAATTAACATTTATTCCATAGATTCTGTGTTAAATATGAAAAGCAAGATGCCTGGCACATGTCAGATTCGCGAATTCACTTGCAGTGTCTTTATTTTTACTGATGAGGAAATCTAGGTTCTGAAAGTAACCTATACGAGGTCACACAGCTAGCGCCAGATGCAGGATTCGACCCAGGTGTGTATTGCTCCAAATTTGATATTGTTCTGTACTGTAGTAATCTGTTACTATTAATGCAGCAGTAACTCAAACAAGGGACTTGGTGCGGGTTGGAATAATTGGGAAACATGGAATGGAATAATAAAAAATATGAAGCATGGGATAGATAGGAGAGGATCAGACCCTGGAGGCAGGTAGTCTTAAAATAAAAAAATAATAATAATAATGATAAAACAACTTTTACCATGTTCTAGTCACTGTTTAAATATATTAATTCATTTAGTCCTTACAATAACCCTATGAACAGTTATTATTTTCATTTTGTAGATGAGGAAACGGAGAGGTTAAGCTCTTGCCTAAGGTCACACGTTAAGCCAGTGGTGGGATCCAAATGAGAACTCAGCAGTCTGATTCCAGAGCCTATGAAATGAGGCAATGAAGAGGAAGGGGCCAATCAAGGGAGGATGCTTCAGGGCTGAAAACAGTAGATGTAAAATAGAGTAAAAGTAATTGTGCATAGGGACAGGGATGAAAGATATAGGTTTGGGAGTACCTTATGCCAAGTGGATGGCTGAAGCCTTGAGAGGGGTCAGGTCAAAGAAGTAAAGGTAGCCAAAGGTCAGGAGGTGACAGAGCCTAAAGGGATGCTCACAGTTTCTTGGATGGGAGGGGAAGAGGTACTAGTCAAAGGCACAGAAGAGGAGAATTAGGCATGCACAATCTAAAGGATGAAGAGATTGAGGATGAGGCCCCTGTGTCAATATGCCAGAGACTTCATGGATGTGCATAGCTTCAAAGTCCCTGGACCATTGTCTCTGTGCTTTTGAGTTTTGAGGTATCTCCCCTTTCCTACTAGTTTCTTCTTGCCTCTTATTATGTTTTTAGCACTTTTTCTTTTTTCATAAATCAAAGTGAGAAAGAATGGTGATTGTATTCACACTATTATTGCAAATACCTCTAGTATTGTATATATTTCAGAAAATAAATAACTAATCTTCTGAATTAAATTGGTAGAAGACATGCTAATTTTGGTAAATTCTGTATTTTGCATATTACTGGATGAAGAGACTTTCTTTATATGTTGGAGTGTTCTAAATTCCAAGATAAAATTAGAAGAGGTTTGACACAAGTGACATTTTATTTTAAATTTTATTTATTTTTTTATACAGCAGGTTCTTATTAGTTATCCATTTTATACATATCAGTGTATACATGTCAATCCCAATCTCCCAATTCATCACACCACCACCACCACCACCACCCGCCGCTTTCCCCACTTGGTGTCCATATGTTTGTTCTCTACATCTGTGTCTCAATTTCTGCTCTGCAAACCGGTTCATCTGTACCATTTTTCTAGGTTCCATGTATATGCGTTAGTATACGATATTTGTTTTTCTCTTTCTGACTTCACTCTGTGTGACAGTCTCTAGATTCATCCACGTCTCTATAAATGACCCAATTTTGTTCCTTTTTATGGCTGAGTAATATTCCATTGTATATATGTACCACATCTTCTTTATCCATTTGTCTGTTGAATTTATTTTATTTACTTTTATTTTATTTATTTTATTTTAAAATAAACCATTTCATCCTGTTATCCCCAGTTTGAGAACTTGCAGTAGTGCCTTATTACACACCTACTGAGTCCTTCAACCTGGCTCTCAGGACACTCTAAACTTGCCCCGCTTTCTGTCTTGCTTGGCTTTCCCTGACACAGATGCTCGCTTCTCTTGTCTTGTTCTTTCCTGTCCCTGTGCTGTTTCCCTCTTCACCTGTTTAAATGAGATTTCAAAGCCTGGGCAGTGTCAGTCTCACCTGCGCTCTTAGTACTGTTAATTCTCCTCTGTCTGCTTTATTGATTTCTCCTTGACCTTAGTATCTTTCGTACAGGTTGTCAGTACTGTGTATTTTACCACTTAATAATTTTGGTGCATGTAAAGTGGCTAAAAAAAAAAAAATCTGACTTCATAGTAAAAGGCCATAGTAGTTTTAGTCTTACTACAACATCCCTACGTAGGGAATTTAGGAAGCAAATTGGGAATTTGTGAAGTTTGTTGCTTATTAGGGAATAATTCTCTTCTCAGGTGAAGGGACATACATATATCATGGCTTTTAAAAGGAATTTTTAGCTACTAAGACTACAAAACCTACCTTATTAGTCTGTTTAATTTAGGAATCTTAAATGCTAGTATTGCATTTTTTGACACACATTGAGGATTGCTGCTGTTTTTAGAGTCTAACAGAGTATTTAGTTTCTATAAGATATGAGTTGTTTTTTGACACTGCCAAAGAGCTCTTCTAATAGTGATCCTTATTATTTCAGAACTGATCACACATTTTGTACAGCACAGAAATCCTGTTTGAACCTAACAAGATGATGAGTAGATTCGTTCCTGTAGTCCCAGAATGTCAGCTAAATCTCAGAGTGGAAGACAAGGGCACTAACTGCTTACTCCACATTCTAAGGATGTTGCCAGCAGCTCTAGGGGAGGAGGTACCTTTCTGCCTCCAGAACCTGCAACCTCCACTTTGCTTTAGACAGGTGGCTAAGTGGACTTCCAGCTGGGGCATGTAATGTCTGCTTCCTCTTCTTGGTGACACCTGCAGGCCCTTTCTTTCCCTGGGTTCAGGAAGGAAAGTAGCTCACCCTCAACACTGCATCATCTCTCAGGGCCAGCCCCCAGCTAATCCTCCATCTCCCCAGTCCTCTTCATATAATGATTGGAGGTTGGGGCAAGGAGGGCTGGGTGAAAGTTAGGCTAACTCTGGTCTTTCTTAGCAAGTCTTGACGAAAGATGAGCCATGCCTATTTGCTGGATGCTCTCTGTAGAATGGTGGGTTTGTCAACCTTGTCTGCACATGGAAATCATCCAAGGAGCCGATGCCCAGGTTGCACCCTAAACCAATTAGATTACATCTCTTTGTGTGGGACACCAGCATCAGTGGCTTTGAAAGCTCCCCAGGTGATTCCAAAAGCAGCAAAGCTTGAGAACCACTGCTGTAAAATATGCGGGGATGGGGTGAGGAGAGGAGGGGTGTTTGGGGTCTTTTATTCCCCAGGCTTGGGTCTTAGCCAAAATTTCCTTGAAAATGGCAAATATCTTACTCAGTATCTTGTCAGATAAACAAAGATAAAATTAAGGTTGAGGTTTAATCTGTTTTGTTTTGTAGCAGAAGGCTATGTTTAAAAGAAGGATCAAGATTATACTTGGACTTTTTCTGAATGGTAAAATTTGTAGTGATGAAAAGATTAATATGTCTTTTTTGCCATCTTCAAAGCTTCATTTTATTGTCACACAGTAAATGAGTTTTATCCCAGCAAGAGAATCTGACTGAAACAATATCACTGGCATGGGCTAATAAGACATCTGAATTGCCTGGAAGCACATATAACAAAGTCTTATTCTAGCAAGTTCACTCTGTTATCCTATTCTGACAATTTGTCTTAAGAATTCAGATACTTCATTAGGAATGCATGTGCCTCTTTTTTTTTTTTTGGTCATGCCGCGCAGCTTGCAGGATCTTAGTTCCCTGACCAGGGACTGAACCCAGGCCCTGGCAGTGAAAGTGCCGAGTCCTAACCACTGGACTGCCAGGGAATTCCCAAGGAATGCATGTGCTTCTTAAAGGCACCATTTCACCAGCTTTCTCATTTCTTTGTTTTTCTTACAGCTCAAGAGATGGCTGCCCAGTGTGTCACAAAGGTGGAACTGAATATTTCCTGTGACAATCTTTTGGATAAAGATGTAGGGTCAAAGTCAGACCCTTTGTGTGTGTTATTTTTGAATACGAGTGGTCAACAGTGGTATGAGGTAATGTTAAATACTTGTAGGTGAAAAGCAATCTGTATTGCTCTTGTGATAATATGAAGAGTTTATTAAAAATGTTAAAAATAATAAAACCATCTCATCTGTTATTGCAGTTTTTTGGGCAGTTTGTCCTTGATTGTGAAATTTTTCATACACATATAAACACTTCCTTTAGATACCATGCCTGTATTTAGTTACATGTAGTATGTAAAGATATTAAACACATGCACTTTTGATCTGAAGAAACTTTTTTATTTTGGGGGAGGGAATATAGGTTGACCGCACAGAAAGGATTAAGAATTGCTTGAATCCCAAATTTTCCAAGACATTTATTATTGATTACTACTTTGAAGTGGTTCAGAAATTGAAATTTGGGATTTATGACATTGACAACAAAACTATCGAGCTGAGTGATGATGACTTCCTAGGAGAATGTGAATGTACCCTTGGACAAGTGAGTATATATAGTATAAATGTTTTGTCTAAATTTGAACCAAAGAATTGGGTGTTTCTGATAAGTGCTCATCAGTTTAATTGCTAAAGTTGAAAAACGCTGTAATTACTTTAAAGATTGAGTTCATATATTAGTATGTTTTGCTTGAACATTATAGAATTTATCTTATTTTTCATGAGGGTAGGGACCATGTGTGTATGGGTGTTTCATTCAACATTTCAATAAATAATACCATTGATCTAACTGCTTGTCTGCTGTTTGCAGTTTTCAGTACAGTATTGTTCTTTTGTTTAAGTCATAAATGCTGTCAAAGTAACAGCAGCTTCTCCGATGTTCTAACTAGCATGACTGGTGCCCCTTGAGCCCACCCTCCCCACCTCCCCCCCCCATCCCGGCCCCAGCACCATCCCTTTACCTGGCTTGCTCCTCCTCTAACCTTAGGTATGGACCTTACTCCCCCTAGCAAGCCTTCTCTGAAGCCCTAGAGTAGTTTGGATCACCTCCATGTGCTCGCTTGGTCCTCTCTACCACTTCTACCTTAACACTGACCATATTTTACTGTAGTTGCTTAATTGTTTGTCTTTCTAGGATATTACAGGTTGGGTCAGAGCAGGGGTGTGTCTGTGGGCTCACCATTGTGCTTCTAGCTCAGTTTGACTTGTAAGGAGAGATCATGACCATTTATGATAGAATAGGGAAGGCTTCAGGAGGGAGGAGTCGTTTTTTTTCAGTGGGTGACATCTATTTCTAAGATTTGTCTTTTATGAGTTTATTTTTTAGTGTTGAATTTTTTGGAGATCATGTTATTTCCTATGTCTCAAGGACAACATGGAGCTGATCAATTTTCTCAAACTTTGATAAATAGTATCAAAGAGAAAATTAAAGAAGTATTGATTGGGAAAAAATCACAGTATATCTAAAATTATAATAAATTTGAGAAATGGATCTATTTGAGAGTACCTAGGTCTACTATATTATTTTAATCAAAATGATATCTTGTGGGGATTATATACTGAAGTTATGTTTCAGCTGAAAAATTGAATCCCATTTATTGAGCATTCTAAGACCCACCTTTTACCTACAGGGGTTTCATTTCAGCTCAGTGATTTGTATATGATGAGAATCTGGCCCTCTTTTTTCATTACAAGGAAGGATTTAACTTTGAAGTAGTTGATAAAGAAACTAGTGGGTGGGGAGATTTTATCTATCTGGATTGGCTCCTTGGAAATCTTTTGCAGTGGGTGTAGATGTGTTTTATAATCTCTAAGTCTTTAAGGAATGGACTTAATGTTTCTGTTTCTAATGACTTTAAGTGAACTTTATACTCAACCCTTTTTGAAACCATTCAGTCTAAACATTCACATGTTGAAGTGAAATAGCTCTTTCTATCACTTTCCAATTTTAACAGATTGTTTCCAGTAAGAAACTAACTCGACCACTGGTGCTTAAAAATGGCAGACCTGCAGGGAAAGGAAGAATTACGGTAACGATAAGATATTTGTCTTTTTTCCTCCGAAGATTTAGCATAATAGGACGTGCTAAAACTGTATATATCAGACAAATATTCCACAGCCATGCTTTATCATTTGATCCTGAATGTTGCCTTGCCTTAAAGTGATCACAACTGGAAACTGTGTTGTGCCAAAAAGAAAGAAAAATGCAGTGTGGGAATCCCTTCTTTGAGTTTTTTAAGCTGCCTATAGAGTCAGGCACATCTTGGTAATGCTTGCCTCTTCCCGATGGAAGCGTAAATTCCCAAGTGAGAAAGAAATTACTTAATAATCTGAATGGATCAATTTGGCTCTCAACAAAGCAAACATGGCAGAGACTTTCCGTAATGGTTTTGATTCCAGAATGATCTCGCATTATGACATGGCCATTGAACCTCTTAACTCTTAACCATGTTTCTTTTGTGCTTGCACTTTGCTCTCCAAATTTTCCATTGCTGATTACTGGACCTGGGCAAATGAATATATGCATTATCTTGTTTCAGATTTCAAATTACATAATGCCATGCTTTTACATATTTTATCTTCTAGAGTTTCTGTCCAGGTAATCACCGCCTGAAGAGATAGTTGTTTTACTTTAGCTCTGCCTGAGAAGGCTGGCTCTCTGAGAAAACCGTGTTTGAAGATTATTACGATTATCAAACACATTTCTCTGAGCAGCTGTTTTGCCCTAGTTTAGATTCCTGAGGCATAAGAATGTTCAGTCTTTTGAGGGTGTTGACTTCTGTGTGTGGGACAGAGATCATTATCAGTAGTTAGCTTTATTGCTTTTGGGGTCATGATAGCCTGGAATTTATTTTTAAGTAGAATAAGTCTTTCAGTTACCTTGGATGAAAATATTGATCCGATATTTGAATTTATAGTGTGTGATTTACTCATGCTTCTCAATGTTTGGAGAGCTCTCACTAGTGTTGTGCAATCATCCAGGGCTTTGATTTTTCACTGGAAGAGGGAAGATCCAGTTTGGGCAACAGCATTAAATAGGAAGCTGCATAATGCAGACTAGGCATATTTTGGGAAAATATTTATTTCACATGCATAAAAGAAATAGTGATAAATCTTTCTTAATGGTACCATTTTGTTATTAAACCTTTTAGAATTCACATATTAGTATAGACTTTATATACCATTAGATAACAGAATAATTCAGTACTTCCTGAGTATGTCAAAATCCCCAAAACGTGTTCTTTCACTTACCTTGTCTACTCATAGATTTCAGCTGAAGAAATAAAGGATAACAGAGTTGTCTTGTTTGAAATGGAAGCAAGAAAACTTGATAATAAGGTAGGTAGGTGATGCAGATTTCAACAAGGGTATCATGTTTTGCCTCACATTGATTCCTTTTTGAGAAAATAATAATGGAATTAATATTATGAACTCTGTCATCTAAGCATCACTTTGAGTGTTAGTTACTTCCGAATTCTGCTTTCTGTTTGTGTGTGTGTTTAAGCAGAAGCCATTTCTCTTTACCTCTTTCCTCTAGATGTAATCAAAGTGTTTGTATAGCTTAAAAGAAGAATTAATACAATCATTAATGTTACTGTAAGAGGCGTTTGAGAGTGTATTTGGATTACTTAAGGAAAAAAGTGAAAATTCCATGCTTTATTAATTAGATTTTCCTCTTTGCGTTCAAAAGTCAATTTTTCTTGAAGAATGAGTACCAGTACATAAGAACACAGCAGTTTAGTTTATAGCATGGTTTGGAATAATTCTTTGAGTGATTTTTGTATGTAATCCTGTAATCCAATCATTAGTCTTCATCATTTTCATATACCTTACAATTCAGTGTGCAAATATCTTAGACTAGTAGCCAGTATCTTTTTTTTTTGGACAAGTTTAAACATATACAAAAATAGAAAAGTATTTTTTAAAAATCCCATGTTCCCACCACCTATCTTTAACAGTTTTAACTCATGACCAGTTTTGTCTCATCCCTACCCCTATCTACTTTCTCTCCTCCCAGACGTCACATCATTTCATCCATATATGTTTTGGTGTATCTCTAAGGACTTTTAAAATAATATAATTGGTTAATATGTCTCTTAAATTTTTTTAATCTATAAATTCTCCTCTTCCTTTTACTTCTTCCCTTCCTCCCTCTCTTCCTCTCTTATTCCCTTTCTGTCTCCCCCTCCCTCCTATCCATCCATGGAATTTATTCAATAAACCGACTCCTTTGTCCTATAGAAGTTTCCACACACTGTATAAGCTAATTAAATCCCTGTGGTGTCATGTAACTTGTTCATCTCTCCACCTTTATTTCCTGATTTCTGTAAGCTGGAATTGAATCTAGAGGTATGATCTGGTGGTATCTTGAATTGGTATGAGTTTCATAGGTGGTGGCATTAATTCCATCAAGAGGCACACATTGTCAAGTTCTGTCTTTTGGGGTATTAGTGACCATTGATGACAACTACCTAGATATATTATTTTATTAAGGGTCTTTAAATAGTGATATTCTCATGCTATCATCACTTCTTCATTTACTTGTGAGAATACTTCTACAGAGAGAAATATTCTTCTTCACATTAGGTATTTATTTATTCTGAGATACAGTTTGTCCAGAAAAGGCAAGCTGAAATGTTTGATTTTTTTAATCATATTCACCATTTTTCAAAATAATAAATTCCTCTATATGTGACCAATGAGGACTTAAAAAAATTTTTTTTAGTATTGCTGTGAACTATATTGATTAATTCTTATTGATGCCTAAAGTATCCCAACTTTAGCCTATGGGAGGGAACCTATTTAAGTTTGTTCATGAGACCATTTGGCATGACCCCAGAGGTCTCTGGATAGCTTCCTGCTCTGTGGCATGACAAATGTTCCAGGCTTATTTTATCTGATTTCTGCTCCAGATTGACAGATCAAAGGGAGCCTTTCTACAATGAGTCCACAATGTGGTACTAGAAGTGCTTAACATTTATTGATTGTTGTCACTCATTGTTTCTAGGATTTTTCAGTGGACAGATATAGGAAAGTCTTTTCTTTTTTAAGGGAAACTAAATCATAAATTTGTACAACGATTTCCAGTTTAGATGTAGAATTACAAGGCTGTATTTCTTTAATTCTGTAGGTAGCACCTCTTTTCACTTATGTCAAAAATGTTGATTCCCAAAGATACTAACATAATTGCTTATCTGTTTTGTCCTATATAATATCTAATAGTTTAAGAATATAAATATTCATGTTACAATTAAAATATTTTTACTGAAAACAGTTTGAGCTTTCTTTGAAGTTCTTTTTGTCTTTAGGCTTATATATTCCACTTGAGTTCTACAGTTCAACTCTTGTGTTTCAAATAATTCTTCTCTGAATGGTTATGCTGTAACATTAACACATAATCGAATCTTGCTTTTGATATTTAGGGATTGCTTTACAATTTATTTTTTATTTAATTTTGTTTTACAATCATGTATAAGATGGTTCCAAAGCCAAATCTAGGCATCAGTAGGCATTAGGCATCAATAAGAATTAATCAAAACAAGGTATGTTCAAGAAATTTAACTTCTTTCCCTGTCTGCTCTATATTTTTTTTCTCTTTCCTGGCTGTATGTAATACTTTTTTAAAATTTATATTTTATGGTTTAATCCTTCATTTTCCAAAAAAACTAAGGTTTTTTTGTGTGTGTCTATACATGTGCATATGTATATGTATGTCTTTGTGTATATGTCTGTGTGTATATATAAACATACAAATAGACATACATGTGTATATCTATATACATAGATATGTGTGTGCATGTGTGTATGTATGTATTTGTATTTATATTCCCCAGCCTCAGCCCATGAGTAAGTGTAGCGTAATATATTATGCATACGTTCCTCTACCTTGCTTTTTTGACTTAACTTATCCCAGAGTCAGGGACTTTTAATTCTTATTTTAGTTCTACTACTGTCATATTAATGAACTTTCAAACAAGGTCTGTTTTCTGACCTTCAATATGGTAATAATGATATTCTGCCTTTCTCAAAAGATTATTTCTAAGATAAGTGAGACAGGGCATGTTAATGTGTTTTTGGAAAGTTAACTCCTCTATGTATAATGCTGTTCTTAGTTTTATAAAATGGGGCATAGAGAGGCTTATTACATTACCTAAGGTTCTTCTTAAAGATAAGATTAAATTTTAAAAGTTCTACTTAGTCTTTGTGTTCACATTTTTGACTGTGCCGAATGTGTTACTTTCTTAACATTAGACCGTGCCGAGGAAGGAAGTAATATTATCTTCTTAATTTAATACTGAGGTAAATTCAGGACTGAAAAACATCTTCAGTTTAGCGACATATCTGTGTATATTACTGTGAGATTAACAGGTGTCCTTTCTATTTCACAAATAATAAGTAATATATGCTAAGGAGTATAGAAATTTCAAAATGAAGATAAAATAAAAATGAGAAAATAAAATCATCCACAATCTTACTATCTGAGTTTTACCTCTGGGAACAATTTGTACATTCTTCCAGAATTTTATCTCCCTGTGTAAGAGTGTGTGTGTGTGTGTGTGTGTGTGTGTGTGTGTGTAAGATGGCGATAAGGGTATTTTTGAACACTCATTGTACTTGAGCATTATACAGGAGTGCTGTGATGTGGTGAATTACAGAGGAAATAGGGGATGTACTTTGTGCCCTTGAAGTACTTCTGTTGTGCATTCCACATATCTACTTGTGTTTGCTCCTTTGTGTGTGTAAAGAAATGTGTGGGATTGCTGAAGGAGTATTGGACATAGAAGGGTAAGATATGAACTCAAAGCTCAGATCCATCAATTAATTAGTTGTATGATCTTGGCAAAGTCATTTAACTCCTCTGAATCCATTTTCTCGTTCTGTCTCTCATGGAGTTAGTATGACTAATGTATGGGATCATTTATATAAAACTACTCAGTGCTATGTGAATGAATGAACACTGTTAATAATGAAAACAAGCTAAAAACATATTGTATTGATAACGGGTCCTATTGATCACTGTATTTTAAAGCCATCATGTAAGGGTGTGATACACAGGATTATGAGCATTTATCACAAGTGCCTTAAAAGTTCTCCTGGTAGACTTGAGCAGGCTCATATGTTTGTGAGGAAGGTGTTGGGATTTGTATTTACTGCTGTATTGTACTGTATATATCTTTACTATAGAGTTAAACTTCAGGTACTGCTAACATGTAACATGTATAAAGTGTGGTTTCTCATGGTTTAGGAGGAGAATAATTGCTTTTTTATTTTAATGTAGGATCTATTTGGAAAGTCAGATCCATACCTGGAATTCCACAAGCAGATGTCTGATGGAAACTGGCTAATGGTTCATCGAACAGAGGTGAATATCTGAATTTGAAAAGTAGGGTTGAGGTTTCCTTTGGAATTGTAGTAATCTGAATTTTTAAAAATTATGATTGGCGCAGTGGTTGAGAGTCCGCCTGCTGATGCAGGGGACACGGGTTCGTGCCCCGGTCCGGGAAGATCCCACATGCCACGGAGCGGCTGGGCCCGTGAGCCATGGCCGCTGAGCCTGCGTGTCCGGAGCCTGTGCTCCACAACGGGAGAGGCCACAACAGTGAGAGGCCCGCATACCGCAAAAAAAAAAAAATTATGTATTTATAAAAATATTAATCTGAGTTCAGACATATATAATTGCCAGAGACACAAAGTCAGCATGCTCATTTTTTTTCTTTTAATAAGGAGGTGCTACTATGCTTAATTTTTAAAACCCTATAAAGAACACTAAAATGTATACCAGTGTATCCCTCACCTAGATTGATCAAATGGTCATAACTGCATACATGTGTGTTCTTTCTCTCTCTCACACACATATCCATGCCCTTTTGCAAAACTATCCTAATGTAGGCTGCAGACATCATGGCTTTTCACCTTTAAATGCTACAGTAGGTATTTCTCAAGAACAAGGGCATTTCTCTACACGTCCGTAACTGAGAGCATTAACATTGATTTAGTAACATCATCTAATATACAATTCATCTTCAGATCTCCCCAATTTTCCCACGTTTTATATATGTTTTGTTTTGTTTTGTTTTGTTTAATACAGGATCCAATCGAGGTTCACGTTTTGCATTTGGCTATTATGTTCCCAATATAGTCCTCTTCTCCCTACCTCCCTTATACCTTCAGGCTATGAATCTCTTGAGTAATCAAGATCTGTATGTCTAACATACTGGATTCTTTTGTTTCCTCACAATTAGGTCCAGATCAAACATTTCCATCTAGAACACAGTATGTGTATCTTCCATCATCAGGGTGTGTCAGGATGCCCAGTACTGATGATTCCAGTCTGGGCTACTAGGTTAAGCTGGTGACCACCAGATTATGCCATGATAAAGTCTCACCTTTTTCCCTTTGTAATTAATAAATGATTGCAGTGTGATTCTTTGAGACTGCATGAATAACCTCCATTTCGCCCAGTGGTCTTAGCATCCATTGATGATCCATACCTGAATCACTTATATTGGAGGTTGCAGATACTCTTATTTCTCTCACTTTTATTTTTAGAATCATTATAGACCCATGGATTGTTATAGTATATTCACTGTGTTTATAATTCATTACTGTCATGAATTTTGCTGCTCATATTAATCCAAATTTGACCAGGAAGAGCTCCTTCAAATGGTTCTTGGGTTCTTTTAACATGACTCCATTAGTCTTTAAGCAGTCTCTTATTTTATGTGAAATTATGTTCTTAATTCAACATGTACCTAACCTGTCCCAAGTCTGGAATGAGCTATTTCTCTTATGGAACCCTATTCCTTTAAGAGGGTAGTAGTATTTGGACAGTAGGGTATATGAGTGCTCATTCTACTGGGATGTCATTGCTTTTAGACCTTTTCAATGGACACAACTGAGAAATATGTATATTTGTGTATATATGTTTATTATATATACATATTTTAAAAATTTTAAATTATGAATTTAGACTATTTTTCCACTTCACAACCAACATAGCAAGGTTCTTTCTGAGCCTTTCTTATTACATATTTGAATTTTATGTCCTGCTGTGAAAACTCTGGTTTCCAACAAAACCAATAATCTTCTCTAATTTTTAAGTGCACCTTATAAAGAGTGGATATATTTCCCAGTTTTTTTCTTTCTCACAGTGTATCACAATTAGACAATCTATAACATTTTTCATATAACAGGTGTATAATATTATCCTAGCTAGGTTTTCATTGACAAAGTTGGGTGGGTGAAGAGGTGAAGGATGTATGATGAGAGTGGTGGGAATCTAGGAAAGGCAAGAACAAAGCATTAATGAATGGAATATTTTTCTAACTTGTCTTTAAATCTTTTTTTTTATAGGTTATTAAAAACAACTTGAATCCTGTTTGGAGGCCTTTTAAAATCTCTCTTAACTCCCTGTGCTATGGAGATATGGATAAAACTATTAAGGTAATTTGAAATTATACATATATTATATATACACACACACTCACTGCTTTTATAAATTATTTCATTAGATAGTATTTAAAGAAAGAAATGTTTGAATTTTATTTACATTATGAATAATAAAATAGAAATGTTTCTGGTAAGTAGTCAGTTTGAAGGAGCAGACATTTTGAGTGATCTGTTGACCTAATCCTTAATCAAACATTGTGATTTTTATTTTTTAAAATAAAATATTTAATTTAAGTCTTCCTTTTAATAAGATTCCTCTGCTCTGTGAATAGGAACCTTTAACTACACTCTTTGCCTTTGGTGTGTTCTTTGCAGATAAAAACAGATGTTACTTTAACTGAGAACCCAGAGCTTCCTCCTGCCCTTAGCACAGAGCAGAATAGTGGTGACATTTTCTGTCACTGATATTTTCAGAGTAAGGTAAAATTTATTAAAACATTTGGATGGCTTTAGTTTTAGAGTTTTTAGAGGAAAGCAGAGCGGGAACAGGGAGCAGAAGCAGATAGCTAAGAATTTCTTTTAATGGTTTCACTTATAGCCGTTTATCAAAATAGATACATTATTTTTAAGACACTTTTATACTAGAGTCACTTCGTTACGTAAGATTCCAGGTAGAACCCCTTTCTCATGTTCAGAAGTCAGCAAACTGAGGTGAGTTGTTTGTTTATTTGTTTTGTTTATTTATTTATTTATTTTTTGATAATTAGTATGGTGAAAGCAGGAAAGGTGATGGCCTGGAACAAGCAAAGGACTTAAAGAGTCAAACCGTAGTCCAAGACTTGACTTAGGTCCTTAACCAGCTAAGGGTTCTTGGGCAGGTTATCTAACTTCTTTACTTATATAGTAGAGAAAATAATGTCTACATAACAAAATAACATAAGGATTAAATTAATAAAACTGAAAAGTTTTATAAACTCCTAAACACAGTAGAGGTGCTGTTATTATTGAAAACTACTTCATTTCTTAGATCCATAAATTTTGTCCTCAGTTTGCAGAGAACTTTAAAAATCAATGAGTGTGATTTGTGTGATATTTCAAATAGCAGTGAATGTCTAGGTACAAAGTAAATAATAGAAAAGTAGCTTTACAAATTACTTTTTACTGTTATTAAATCTAGAACTTTTGCTTTTCACATTAAAGATAGTAAGTTGAAGCTTCATTAGATCTGAGAAGCAAGAAAGGCTGGGGAAAAAAGATGCCTAAACTGTATTTGACTGATTGTAATAATATGTTAACAATGAAACAATGTTTTTTTAAACTTTTTTTTTTATGCACAGTGGCATGCTTACAGGGCTATTTTGTTATAGTAAGTAAATTGATTTTCTGAGCTTTCTCTGATGAATGTCTTCCAATTCTTAAAAGTTTCTCCATTTGTTTTGACTATATACAACTTGGTTTGCCACACCATCACTGTCTCTATTTCTTTAGTTCTGTATTTCTTTGCAATATCAGAAATCATACATCAGTGATTCTCTTGGTATTTGGAAATTGGTTAGAGGTGTAGTAAAGAGTTATAGAGCAGAGAGTAGAGTCAGAATCATCAGTTTCTTTGCTGCAGTATGAACGTGCCAGTGTTATCACTCTAGCATGTATTATTATTTTCATAAAATCGTGCAAATAAGAAAAATAATCATGCATGCCTAAACGGGGAATGCCTTAGTGAATGTAGTATTGTGTGATGTGTGCATTCTTTTACATGTATACATATGCACATATGTGTATATGCATACATTTCAGTTTCACAAACATTGCTGATGGTGTTGTTTAAAACAGCCAATATTACTAGTTTTTAAATTCTTGAGAAGAGAAATTAAATGACACAAATCATTACATCATTTACCTCAAGCTGTATCTGAACATATGCCAGCATTATAAATGTCACATTTTCCTTTAGCATCAAACATTTGCCTTTAATGAGGCAACAGTGAACTTTTATTATATATTTATTGTAGTGAGTTATTGGGAATTACATTTTAAAAATGTTTTTACACTCCCTGAAGTTTCGGACAGTCTAAACATGAATAGTTTTAGCTCCTGCATAAGCTTTGTTTAAATAAAATCTTGGCCTTATCAGAGCTTGATCTTGTTGTCTTAGGTACAAATTGGAGCTTCCTGAGTGCAAGTCTAAAATGTAACATTCTGTTTTCCATAATAAAAAAAAAACTCTTAAAAATGAAATTATTAAAATATTAAGATTGTTTTGACTTTATCTTAATTTTAGTTCCTCTAGAAAAAATTATTAAGGTCATTAATTTTCTTTTCTGTCAGATAAAGGGCTTTTGGTTTAAAAATTGAGTATTGGATATGTAGGGCAAGAGTTAGCAGGTCAGAACTGATCAGTGACTGAAGTGCTGGGAACAAATAAAAACCCTTACTGTTGCTCAAAATTGCAATTCTAGACCTTGTTTGTTTTATTTATTGACTGTTTGATTTTTAGTCTTCCTGAATAATAATGAAAATATAAGGGGTGAAAGACTTCCTGTTATGATAAGCACTCAATTCACCTCTTAGAGAACTGAGAAGAAAATAAATCACTTTGCTAGGTGAATATATATAAATCCTGAGCATTTTAGCTTGGTGATTAATATAACTTTGTAAAGGATTATAGCAGGATGGAAGATTGGCATAGGGTAAGATGCAAATTGCTTCTCAGGTACAGGCTTTTATTTTAAATCATAGGCTATAGAAGGATTCAAAAGTTTCCTTGGAACAGATTTACATTGTTGGTTACCACACAAGATATGTCATCTTCTAAGACTATTTAATTCTTCTCCTACCTGACAAGCCTCAGTAGATATTGTGTGCAATGCATGTAATAAATGTTTGCAGAAAGAAATGTTTGAAATTACAAAGCACTATAAAAACATCGGGGCTTCCCTGGTGGCGCAGTGGTTGAGAGTCTGCCTGCCGATGCAGGGGACACGGGTTCGTGTCCCGGTCCGGGAAGATCCCACATGCCGCGGAGTGGCTGGGCCCGTGAGCCATGGCCGCTGAGCCTGCGCGTCCGGAGTCTGTGCTCCGCAACGGGAGAGGCTGCAATGGGAGAGGCCACAGCAGTGAGAGGCCCGCGTACCGCAAAAAAAAAAAAAAATCGGTTATTTATGATCACAGTGAACACCTCTGTTTGCTAAGAGTTCACATCACCTTATTTTCTCATTGCAATGAATATTCAGGTATTCTTGTGAATATTTACTCTTTGGCTACATCTGTCAACCTGGTGCAAAACTATATGGAAATCAAATACCCTCAGCTCTCTTCTGTCTGCTTCAAGAAAGAGCGAGCCTTTAATGAGAGCCATAGCCAAGATTCCTGTCTTACGTGGAAATAAAATAATTATGACCCAGTATAGATACTTCCTCAGTGTATAAAAAACTGTTTTCCTGGAATTTTCCTTTTCATTGTGAGGGTTGTGATCCTCAGAATGATGCAAATCTGACTTCATCATATCTAACTCCTAATAGAAGCCTAACCTCACCAAACTGCAACTAATGAAATATGTTTTCCGTAGTTACTAATCATCTAGAATTTAATTATACAATTTTTAGCTGCCTAGGATACTGACTTCCTTTCTTCCTCCAGATAGATAGTGGCTTTAGCCATTGTAAAATGATAACAAGGTAAAAAGCAGATGAGAAAGAAGGTCTAATTCCATTTTGATTTTATCAGCACTTGTAAAGGGCATGTACAGGAACTGGAAACTGCTTAATGTGGAATTTGAACAGTATTTGTGTTTTTCATCTGCCTGTGATGTGTCCTAGAACCCCATTCCAAGGATAGCGAGTGTTTGAAAGTGTTTCAGTATTGTTCCTCTAGGAAGTTAGTTCCTACTTCTCCAAGTAGGACTGTATGTTAAACATTTTCACTAATTTTAATTAAAAGTACACTTCTTGGTAAGTCCCATTTGTTGCAGCCAATACTTTTTAACAAAATTATATTGATTTTTATATATTTTTATTATACTTACTTCTAGGTAGAGTGTTATGATCATGACAATGATGGGTCCCATGATCTCATTGGAACATTTCAAACCACCATGACAAAACTGAAAGAAGCCTCCAGAAATTCACCTGTAAGTTGCATCCTTGTCATTTGCATATACCTTATAGTTTGGCCCTGTATTTATTCATTTTTTCTCTTGGCATAGAAAATAGTTTTCCATGCGTTTACTCTATATTATGTAATGCTCTGAAGTCTGTGGATTTTATTTGTTTAGTAGTTGGATGATCCAAAATTCTTACTTGGGATGAGTTTTCATTTATGTTTTGAGGTTTGGTTTCCTTTGTCTTCAGACAGTTTATATGGTTTGATTGAAAATCCTTTGTTTTAAAGATCTTGGCATTTCACTGGTCACAGTAATTAATATCTACACTAGACAAGTACCTGGACTTGAATTGGGTTCATTTATTCTCCTTTTGGACATTTTACAAATTGGCTTTTACATTCTGCCTGTGGCTTTCCTCTGACTTGTCCTCACCCAAGGGAATGATAAAAGCATAGTTACACTATTTCAAATTATGTAATATTAAGCTGCCATCTAATGGTACTAATTTTGTTAAGATCATTTGTCTGCCTTAACTACGTTCAGTTTATTTATTTATTTATTTTTTGCGGTACGCGGGCCTCTCACTGTTGTGGCCTCTCCCGTTGCTCCGGACGCGCAGGCCCAGCGGCCATGGCCCACGGGCCCAGCTGCTCTGTGGCACGTGGGATTCTCCCAGACCGGGGCACGAACCCGCGTCCCCGGCATCAGCCGGCAGACTCCCAACCACTGCGCCACCAGGGACGCCCTACGTTCAGTTTATTAGTTATCATCCCCACATATTTCTAAGATTGCTTCTTGAAACTTTTCTGTCTGTAAGGCAAAGTGCCTAAAAACTATTCCAGAGTGTTGTTTCCCTCTTACTTACCTTTCTAGTTTGAATGAAATAAGTTGTTAATTCTCTTTATAGCTTACTTAGAATAATATGAAATGTTTATTACCTGCTTAGAGACCTGAATAATGCTCCTGTATATAGCATTTGCTTCTGAAAATCTAAACATGAGGTTTAAAAGGTAAGAGATTATGGTCAGGTGGGAAGGTCTTTTTTACGAAGTCATGTAGGTGAGGTGACCCAAAAGAGGATACTGATAGTTTGAGATCAAAACTTAAAAGCTAAATGAATAAATAAACCTTATCAGCTATTTGATTTAAATAATTGGGAGAAATGAGTTTTGAACAAACGTAGTGGGACTAGAATTTTCAGTAGGTCATGTAGAGATCTCTAGTCCTGTTCCTACACCCTGGTCACAAAGCCCAGATACTAGAAATAACAGAAGTGCTTGTGTGAAGTAAGGAAGGCTTTCAAATCACACTCAGTGGTTTAAATGCAGAGATTGAATTAGGTTAACAGTTTGAATTAAAACAACAGCAAAATTCAGCTGTAAATATTCCATTTAAAGATTTTTTTTTATTTTTAAAGGCAGAAATAATGGAAAATAATGAAAATCTGAACATTTAAAATAAAGCAAGCTACCTAAAAGAACTAAATATGAAGAGTGATCTGGATTGTTGTTTCACTGGTTTCAGCAGGCCTCTCACTGTTGTGGCCTCTCCCGTTGCAGAGCACAGGCTCCGGATGCGCAGGCTCAGTGGCCATGGCTCACAGGCCTAGCCGCTCCGTGGCATGTGGGATCTTCCCACACCGGGGCACGAACCCGTGTCCCCTGCATCGGCAGGCAGACTCTCAACCACTGCGCCACCAGGGAAGCCCCTCAAGGAGTTTTTTTAACATCATTTTGTTTTGTATCATTGTATCAAAAGTATTTTTAAATGTTTGATTCTTCGAAAATTAGTAATGCCTCTGTCCAAAGTATATAAGTTGCTTTCTGTTAACCAGAAGAGGTGACTTATCCAGTATTCATTGAGTATCTCTTATTATTAGGCAAGGCAGTGAGAATTTGAAGGTATAACTTGGAAGTGATTATACCCTAGCCATGGAAAAAAATTAATGAAACAAAATAATTGACAACAATACCAAGTATGTAACTAAATTTTATGTGGTTGTAGAAGTTTAATGAGATAGATGGAGATCAGAGAAGCCTAGAACAGGAGTTGATGTTATAGAGGAGGATAACTTCAGCCAAGCCTTACAGAGGGATAAGTGGATAGGAGGTGGAAAGGAAGATGATCTGTTTGGAGGAAGAAACTATACTGAGAAGATGTAAGATACTAGATCGATTTCTACACATATTCCCAGTGGAAAGAGATGATCTTTGCTGCATATTTTACCATAGAGTTGGGCTTCATATATTTCTGTTTTCTGATGGTTGGTTTTTTTCTTTTCTAAGCAGTGTATTTTTGTACTTTGTGTGGGTAACAGCTAGAAGTAATGTTTTATATCCTTTATTATAAAGAAAAAAGGTTATTACTCAGAGCATTTATAAGGAAATGATCTACAGAGGCAAAATTTATACTTAGGAACTATTTTAAAAGGTACACAATTTTAGAAGTCCTTTTTGGAAATATCACTGATAAATATTTCATATATATGACATAGTATGCAGTTGTTTCAGAGTTGTGTTTTGTAACAGACCTACATCAGTAGGTGGTTTGATTCCAAGAGAAAAAAGTCATTTATTTAAATTTACATTGGCATTTCTTATATCACTAGTAATAATGAACATTTTTGTCTTTTCTTCCTACAGGTTGAATTTGAGTGCATAAATGAAAAAAAGAGGCAAAAGAAGAAAAGCTACAAGAATTCAGGTGTTATCAGTGTGAAACAGTGTGAGGTCAGTTTCTCTTGACCACTGATAGTGTAATGAGATCACATTTCGAGTTCTTCTAAACAAACAGTTTGTGTGGACAGTTGAAAATTACATGAGCAGCTGGGCACCTTTAGGGAAAAGAAGAGAATAGGAAATAGTAGAGAAATCTTCCAAGTAACTTTGCTTCCAAGGTTTGACAACTTTTTAGCAAAGGACAAAGAATATCAAAGTTTTTCATTATCTTAGGAAATATAAGGCACCGTTGGCATTTTTCCAGCACATTAGTGGAAATGGCTTGACTTAGTGCATCTCTCCTGGTCATTATTTCAAGATGAGATGTTATGAGTGAAGGGGAAAAAATCCAAGAGATTTCTTATAAACAAGTGGGAGTTTTTGTTTTTGTTTTTAATCTTGCTTATTATACTTAATTAAAGCTCTCAACATATTAGACTCATTATTAGTTTCTTAAAACTTACAGTGTGTGTATTTCATCATTGGCTATTAATATTCTAATCTTCACATTGCTATAATTATCTTGAAGTAAAATCTTACAGATTCATGACATGTAGGGGCAGGGTGCCTTAAATTCAAATGCAGGGGTGTTTTCCATATGTTTATATCATGTGCTGTTCAGTTTATAGATGGTTAAAAATATATGCCAGGGCTTCCCTGGTGGCGCAGTGGTTGGGAGTCCGCCTGCCGATCCAGGGGACACGGGTTCGTGCCCCAGTCCGGGAAGATCCCACATGCTGCGGAGCGGCTGGGCCCGTGAGCCATGGCCGCTGAGCCTGCGCGTCCAGAGCCTGTGCTCCGCAACGGGCGAGGCCACAACAGTGAGAGGCCCGCGTACCACAAAAAAAAAAAAAAAAAAATGCTGGAGAGCTATTTGCTTTTCTTATGTAGTAGGAGAGTTTTAATTTTAAGTTTACTATTTGTTTTTAGATTACAGTGGAATGTACATTCCTTGACTATATCATGGGAGGATGTCAACTGAATTTTACTGTGAGTAACACACTGAATTTTTCAAAATAGGGCTGTAACGTGATTTTTTTTTCCCTCCATTTTGCAGTGTTCCTTCTTTCACTGCCAAATTGACTTTGTGATGAAATTTATACAATCTGTTGAGTATGGTCTCCTCAGAGAGTTTGTTTAGGTTCACCCTGAAGCTTTTGGCCTTGTTAAATATTTTCTCCTGCAAGAAAGCAGATATGTACAAATCAGTGATTATCCTGCAGTAATTTAAATAATAAAAAGCATAATCAAACAAACATACAAAAAAAACAAGCCCTATGCCTAAAGCCATGGATGTAATAATCCATGATTTAAGACATCTAGAAAAATAGGGGTAGTGGGTTGCTTCATGCTGTGGCTTTAATTGTTTAATTGTGTCTGGAAATACCCATAGGCTCAGGCATTTGTTAGGAAATGGCAGTAGCAGGCTCTGGGATGAATGTTTCGGTCTCAAAATTCAATGTTTGTGTTTTCCTGGACATCAAGCAAGGGTGTCCCTGCCTTCATCTCAGTAAGGGCTGCAATTTTGTTATTTGGCAGGTGGGTGTGGACTTCACTGGCTCCAATGGTGATCCAAGGTCTCCCGACTCCCTTCATTACATCAGCCCCAATGGTGTTAATGAGTATTTGACTGCAATCTGGTCTGTGGGACTGGTCATTCAAGATTATGATGCGTGAGTATGACTCCAACACATAACTCCCCAGAAAGGGCAGTTTCTGTATCGTCTGCTGGTTCTCTGATGTAGTTGATGGGATAAGGATGCTGGGGAGGAATAGCTTTCTCCCTAAAATTTCTTGTCTTATCTTTTCTATTTTTCCCTTTGTGACAGTCTTAGTTAGTGTTTGACCTCTAATCTCTGGCTGTGATTAGTTATAATGTATTATATATAGCTTGCTTCTTTAACAGCTGACTGAAGTTGGCAAGGCTTTTAGTTTCTTTGATCTGGTTTCCTTGGGGTTTACTCATTTGGGATAAGTTATCTGTGTAATTGAAGTCCGGAAGACACATTTTGTAAACACTCATAGATGCTATTTCTTAACATGTCTATTTCCTTGGCAGTCATTGTCAAATTATTTTCTTAATGGTGATTTTCAACAAGTGTTGAAGGATAACTTGACATAATTGCTATAAAATATTTTGAATAGATTCTCAATGGATAGATTTTGAATAGATTTAAATAGGTCTTCTTGAAGGTTTAGTAAACAATAGGAAAAAAATCCACATTATTAACTTTTTGTTCTCAATCTATTAGGGCACAGTAAAAATTTTCACCTATTATTTTATGATAAAAGCCCTTACATATTTGATGGAGCTTTTCATTAATTTGTTATGACATTTAAAGAGATGAAATTTTCAGGCAAATGCAAACAAGTCTACAGCAGGGGTAGCAGTTTCAGTATCAGCCTAATAGAATTTAAGACAAAATTCATTAAATATAATTTAAAAATTACTTTATAGGACACCTTATTATATAATCCAAAATGAAAATATAACAGTGGACACGTTTAGTAACAGACTATCAAAATATTTCAATTGAAAATAGCTAGAAATATAATAAAAATTTCAAAATAACACAGTTGTAATGGGACTTAGATAAAAAGTAGAAAATTTACAGGGTTACTTTCTCAGCCTGGTTCCTGGAAGGTAAAACAAAAGGTTAACTAAAAAAAGTTTACCACATGGAAATTAAAAAAACTCTTAAGTAGTTCTTAGATCAGAGAGGAAATCAAAGTGTAATAACAGACTATCTAGAAATAAAGGGTAATGAGACGACTGTACATGGTCCTGTCTTTATAGAGGAAAATTTCTGGCTTTATGTGTTTTATTTTTAAACAAGAATTGAATATAGAATGAACTAGCTTTTCAACAGAATAAAATTAAAGAATAGGAAGAAAAATATAGATATTGCAATAGTAGGAGATTCCGTATACATGTTAGCTATTATGTGTCAGAGAAAATTTTAAATCCTTTTTATATGGTATTCATCAAATACTCATACTTAGCTGTGAAGTAGGTGCTGTTATCATCTTCATTTTACAGGTGAGAAAACTGAGGCATAGGTGATAAAGTAACTTGTCCAGGGTCACTCAGCTTGTAACTGGCAGAGACAGGACTGAACCTGGGCTGTCTGGCTCCAGGGACATGCCCTCACAACTCTGCTGTGCTGTGCTTCCTCCAAACACACAAAATAATGACTTGGAAAGTCACCAAATTAATAAATTAAATGGAGAGATGATTCTTTGCAAGTTCAGCAAAGCTTAGGCAAACCTTTGGCAACACTGACCCCCCGAGAAAAAGAGAAAATGTGTAGAATATTAGTTATGAGACAGAGATTATAAGCATAAATTCAGAAAAAAATAAAAAATTATGTTAATGTTCTGTAAAAGCTTATGCTATTTCATTGAAAAATCTAGGTTAAAGGATGATTTGTTTCAGAAAGCTGTAAATTACCAAATTTGACTCAAAGAAGCAGAGAACCTGTATAGCCCAGGAACCGTGGAAGGAATGGAGTAGCTGGTCAAAGAGCCTCTCCTCACGAAGGCACCGGCCAAGACAACCTTCATACATAAATTCTACCAAACCTATGAGGAATGAATTCAAACCTGAGAGAATCAAGTGAAAAATATTAGAAAGTGTGAGAGTTTAAAAGGTGGTCAGATACAACATAAAATAAAAAATCAACAAGTTTTCACTAACCAGCAAAAACCAAATGAAGAAATTATAGTGGATAAAAGATCACAATTCATAATGCAAAAAAAAATGAGAATGAATTTAGTAAAAGGTCTAGGATCTTTAGTGAGGAAAAACTACAGAATTGTACTGAGGGACAAAGAAGGAAACTTGTTTAAATGGAAAGATATACCACGATTCTAGATAGGCAGATGTCACAATGATGTAAAATATAACATTTCTCCCTATGTTAGTCAGTTTTAATCAGAATTGCAGTGAAACCCTGACAAAATGATTCCTAAAATTTTCTAGAGGGTAAAATGAATCAGAATAGTCAAAAAGTTTTTCAGGGAAAAAGAATGAAGGGGAATTTGTTCTAGCAGGTACTAAAATTTATTTTAAAGCTATATATATATTTATATATATATAATTTAATTTAATTTTTTAGTGGTTTATAACTATATCAGTTTCATATATACAGTATTATATATTAATTGAGTATGGGACTAGTACATGACCAGTAAAAACAAGTAAGCAGTCTTGAAATAGACCCAAAAGTGTATGTGAATTTAGTATATGATAGAGATGGCATTGGGGGGGAAAGGGGTTGTAACAGCTGTCAAACAGGACAGGAACTGGATTTGGATCCCTGACTCATACCTGTGTATGTTAGGATACTATTCTGTATAGACTATAGACAAAATTGCTGAAATGGCTACCCCAAAACAAAGTGGTTTTGACAAAATAGAGGTTTATGTCTCTTTCATGTTGCATCTCTAGAGGTAAGTAGTTCAGGACTGAGAGGGCAGTTCTGCCTTTTATAGCTTCCACCCTGGGTCCGAGGCAGCTGCTATGATTCTCATCCTCTCTAGCCAGTGGGAAGAGGACCAAGGAACTGAGAATGCATGTGCTTTCCCTTTTAGAGTGTGATTGAGAAGTGGCTGACAAATCATTCTACTCACACCTCCAGCCACCTAACCACTGCCAGCCCAGAGAAGCTAGAGTACAGCTAGTGTGGTTGCCAGTAGCCCAGGGGATCCATAATTAAAAAGGAAGAGAATGGATACTGGTGTAGAGTAGCAGTTTCTGCTTCATATCCTACTCCAGATGAATTTCAAGTTTAACATCAAAAGCAAAGCTTGGAAGTTCTAGGAGAAAATATATATGAATTGTTTATAATCTTGCAGTGAGGACAGCCTTTAAGCAAGACAGAGAAGGCAAAAATCATGAAAGAATTTTTATGTGTTCACATTTATTAATATTAATAACTAAAAAAGGGAAGATATTTTAAACAAAGTTAAAGACAGACTATCAACCGGGAAAAATATCGTGACATATAAGATATAGGTTCTATCCTCAATGCAAAAAGAACCATTAAGAATTAATATAAAAAAGAATATCCCTAGTAGAAAAATTAGTGTAATCATTACAATGTTTTATAATGGCAAGACATAGGGTGTCTATCATTTGGGGGAGAATATCTATACAGTGGAATACTTAACAGCCATTCACATGATGTTATATATTCTGGTCCATAATTATCTCTAAACACTTGGGCCAAATATTCATATATTTTGCTGCAGAAATGTGAGAGTTTTACAATGTATGGCATTTGTACCATGTTTCTGTAGCTATAAATGTATGAATATTCATATTAAGTGGCATAAATAAAGGCTATAGATAACTTCATGTCAGTTGAGGTCAGGTTTTGCTGCCAAATGAGTGTTTTTGTAAACAAGTGAAAAAACTTGTGCATTTTAAAACTTTACGGATTTATTTATATATTTATTTAGTGAAACGATAAACTGTATAAATAAAAAAGAGTATGTTATAAAATATTAATATAAAGTCCATTTTAATAGATATAGAGAGACATTTTTCTCCTTCAATGCACAGAAAAATATTTAGAATGAGAGTTGCCAAATATTAACATTGGTTCTAATTGTTTTATATTTTTCTAAGATTTCAAATTTTTAGAAAATAAGCTCATATTGGTTTTATTATGAATAAAGATAAAAATGACCTTTTTCTTTTTTCAAATTTTCTTTTCAGTGATAAGATGTTTCCAGCTTTTGGTTTTGGAGCTCAGATCCCACCTCAGTGGCAGGTAAGAGGAACTCTCATTGCGAAGCTTTGCCTCCTAGCAAAGCAAAACAAGCCTCATCAGTCCTTCTTTCATCTTTTGACAGGTTTCTCATGAATTTCCAATAAACTTTAATCCGTCCAATCCCTACTGTAATGGTAAGTTAAAAATAAACATGAATTTTTAAACTGAAAAAAGCTACTCAAATTTCCTCTCTAGGTTTCTTTTTGTGACATATTGAATTTTCTATCGTGTAAAGTAGTAGAATTTTGCCCCAAGTTGGTGGTTAGCATGGTAATGATAATAATGCAGATCACTATGATGATGATGAAGATTGCAGACTAAATTCTTCTACCTTAAGAGTTTTACTAGAATAAAAGATTCTCAATCTTGAGGGTAGATCCATAAGAATATGCATATTATTTTCACATATAAGTTGATTTTAAAATAAACCTTCAATGAAGACAGGTCATTCAGTATACAGATGCTTTTCTCAGATTAGCAGTTAACTCTCTTTGAAGAAAAAGTGTCTAGCATCAAATTACTTGTTACACAGGGTTCTGTAAGGAGATGGGGTGGGCTAAAGAAACACAGAACTAAGCTCCAAGAGTAGCTTCCCTTTGTGTGGAAAACAGGGATAGGCATTTCTTTCATTTCACTTTTCTGTTTATCCCTCAAATATTCCAGAGCCTCTTCCTTTTTGCCACATTGAGCAATCAACCTACAATACCAAATCTCCCACAAAAGTATGTAAGACTGAACAGTTTGGAAGAGGAAAAGATATAGGGGCAGAGGCATAAAATTGTAGACAATAAGCTAATTTTCTGCAAAGGGTCATTTTAACAATTATAAAACAGAAGAGAGTGTTCTTTCCTTCCCTTCCTAAATAATATTCATAAAGTAGAAGAGCATGACCATTTTGTTGGGAGTAGTTTGTATTAGGATTTTCTCCTTTTTTCTGAAACTCTTTTCTTGTACTAATTCAGTGTTCTTTTATGCACTTTCAGTGGCTGGTTGTGACCTTTTGTATCCCTAGGCATATGAAACTGGGAATATTTTTCTTTTCAAGAAATGTGCTTCATGCTTATGATGAAATTGGAACAATTTTTGGAATTTGTTGTAATTAGATTTTATTTATTGCAAGTAAATATGGATGACATACCATGGGATAATTCATTTTAGAAGTTCATTTACTCTGTGAGTAACATGAGCCCATCTTTGGGCTGCCACCAAGCAGAGCTTTTCTGCTTTTGGTTTAGTCTGGAAAAAACAATCAATTTGATGTTAGACAGAGGAAATACTACACAGAAAAAATACAGCTTTATTTTAAGACAAGGAAGTTTAATCCTGTTTTCCTAATTAATCATCCACCTTAGTTGCCCAGAAAGAATATGTCTAACTTGTTCCCTTGATGTAATGGAAAGATTTTAGCATAATTTAGTTTTAGTTGAGGAATGGAAGGCAATTGATGTTTATGAAGAAATTTAATTAACAGTTTTGTATACCTTGAGATTGAAAAGCAAGCTAGATGATAAAAATGGAAGAAAATATTACTATTGCTGTGGTTATGGGTTAAATTTTTCTATAGCATATATCATTACAGTAAGATCCTGCTGCTGGCCTATGTTAATATTATTTTTGTAACTACTGGACTGACTAACCTCTAGTTCCAGCCTCACCTTATGCATGTAAAATCACCTCTACGTATAAATTAGTTACATTCTCAAAGGTTGTTCATAAGACCACTTATTCCTAAACTCAAAGTGCCTAAGAGGAGTTTATTGGCAAGTGGAGAGACTTGGTCTTGTGAAGCTTTTAAACCAAGTATATGCTTTTCCTCCTTATTGATCTATGTCCTGCTGGACATTTTTTAAGCAAGAGACCTGTTTTGGTTTACATTAAAAGTCTTTTAAGATTTTCTTATTAATCTTAGCAAGGCACTCTTGGGAATTTCTAGGATTTCTAGTCTCTTACTTACATCCCAGACACTCTGTTGTGTATTAGGGGCAGATTCATCAGCAGTGCTTTAATCAGGAATGCCATTCAACTTTTGATAGGTTGTGCTATTGTAATCAACAGCCTCTAAATCTCAGTAACTTGTAATGACAATAATTTATTTCTTGCTCACTTTACAAATCACTTGGTGCTTGGCTAGACTGCTGCGCTGCTCTGTTTCTACTCATTCTGGGTCTCGGGCTGTCTGGGATATGCTGTTCCCATGGCAGAGGGGAAAAAGCAAGAAAGCTGGCAAAAACAGGCCGTGATTCTTAAAACATCTGCTTAGACATGGATGTCATATCCATTCATATGCACTGGACAAAGCTAGTCAAATGGGCCTGCCCAGTCTTCCATTACATAATGCCCAGCAGGCCTAAGGTGCACCCCATAAACAAATGCTTTAGTGTTTCTGCAGCGAAATGTGATAAATAACCTGGAAGTGAATATTTGCAATTAATAGAGTCTACTATACCATGCTTAACCTTATATGATATTTCTGTAGAACCTCTGGTCATATATGCAAAAGTTTTTCCATTTTTTCAGTTACGTTTTCTTACCTTGTCATCAGTTGTATGCTGCAGCATCTCTTGTATGGTTCTTTTTCCATCAGTCTTATTCCCAAAACATATCAAAATTAAGCAATATAACAACCCTACTTTAGACTAACGAATAATTTGGCTGAGGTGAAAACAAATGCCTTCTAGTGGGGGAGAGTAAAGTTTATAGGGTTTTTTTGTGATAGAGCATAGCTATGGAGTTTTGTAATATTATATACCTTAGAGAACTCCTGAATATAGAACTTTTGACTGTTTAAAGCACTGTATGTTGGTATATAAATTAAATTAGCCAGTATGGTGAATAGTAAACAATTAAATTGTGCTTGAGAATTTTTAATTCTGCTTTTTTTGTCTAGGAATTCAAGGCATTATAGAGGCATATCGGGCCTGCCTTCCTCAGATAAAACTCTATGGACCAACTAATTTTTCTCCAATCATAAATCATGTGGCCAGGTTTGCTGCTGCAGCCACACAACAACAGACAGCTTCTGTAAGTGCCCTGTCGCCAGGGGGCAGGGAGAATGTGGATTGGTTGTTGTTCCCAGAGCCATTTTTCTGTTTATTTGGTCTGCTGAGATACAAAGACAGGGCATGAAGCAATGATATATCATCCTTGGTTTGGGAGTAACATCTGTTGTTAAATTAGTGACCATTAAGAACAAGACAACAACTAAACAACCTGTATACTTCTAAGTTTTTTCTCTGTCTTTTGAAAGAATTTTCTCAGGTAGGTTCTCAAAAATTTTTTTGAAGTAGCCTTAGCAAGTTTAGGCTTCAGGAGACCTACCACTTCAGTTGCTGTTGCAAAATTACTTAGCATACTAAAGAAGTTTGAATTAGAGAGTCATTACCTGTTGGACCCTGGATACCAAACCCCACTCAGCTTCAGAATCCTCAGAAATAAGCGATAAGTACCTCATGCAGTTGTTGAAAGAGTGAGAGAAGATAGTTCATATAAAGTGCACAGTGCCTGAGTCAGAGTAAACACTCAGCACATGATAGCTACTATTATAAATCTTATTTCCATTTTAGACTTAAATGACCCAAAGGATGGAGTACAACTTTATGTAACATTTTACCACTCTCTAAAATGATTCATCAGAGATGATGGGATTGAGAGAAAGATTTCCCCACCTTGAACCATATCCATTTTTTAAAAAGTATGTTTTAGTTTGATGAACGATTCTACTTCCTCCGTATTTGATCTTTTAAGAACGGAGTTGCCACTTGCTCCCTTGATAGGTACTTTGACATATTCAGTACTTCAGTTAAATCAGAATGTTTCAGTGCTAACTGAAAGTTTAATCTCTGACATTTAGGTGTCTTGCTTCTGTGTATTTATGCCAGCCCTCTTTTGTGGTCTGTTGCACTTTTAATGAAACTACAGTTTTTGTATCAGTTAATTTCCTTGTCATCAGAGAATCTTAGAATATTTCATATAGATGGTATCCTGGGTAGAGACTGACAAGGAAAATGAGCAAGAAAGAGACTAAATGACTCATCAGGCTGGAGATGTCATTAACCATTGCTTTTTTTTTTTTTAACATCTTTATTGGAGTATAATTGCTTTACAGTATTGTGTTAGTTTCTGCTGTATAACAAAATGAATCAGCTATATGCATACGTATATCCTTATATCCCCTCCCTTTTGCATCTCCCTCCCACCCTCCTTATCCCACCCCTCTAGGTGGTCACAAAGCACTGAGCTGATCTCCCTGTGCCATGCAGCTGCTTCCCACTAGCTATCTGTTTTACATTTGGTAGTGTATATATGTCAGTGCTATTCTCTCACTTTGTCCCAGCTTACCCTTTACCCTCCCCGTGTCCTCAAGTCCATTCTCTACATCTGTGTCTTATTCCTGTCCTGCCCCTAGGTTCATCAGAACCATTTTTTTTTTAAGATTCCATATATATGTGTTAGCATATGGTATTTATTAGAGTCTAACCATTGCTTTTATTGTTGGGGAGCTCGGCTGGCTCAGTGGACATAATTGTCTTTCTTGGCAGCAATATTTTGTGCTCTTAATCATTACCGATGGCGTGATCACAGACCTTGATGAGACCAGACAAGCTATCGTTAACGCTGCCAAGCTGCCTATGTCCCTCATCATTGTCGGAGTCGGAGATGCTGACTTTGGTGCCATGGAGTTTCTGGATGGTGATGGTGGAAGTCTCCGCTCCCCGTTGGGCGAGGTAGCCATCAGGGATATTGTCCAGTTTGTGCCTTTCAGACAGTTCCAGAACGTGAGTACCACTCCTCCCTACTCTTCATGCACTCTAAGGTGTTTGAACACAGACCTTTGCCGGTCCATAACCAGGCAGTTGAGTAGGTGTCAGGGGTTGTTAGAGTGTGTGAATTTTCCATTTTAAGACCCTTGATTAAATTTGGCAGTTTTTTTTCAGGTTGTATACTTGTGTGCCTCTTGCAGTCCGTGTGATAAATTGTTTAAAAAGATGTTGTTGTGAATGTTTTAAAATATATTTTATCTTCACCTGTGTAATAACAGAAAAACTCTATTGAAGTATATGATGAATTTACCAAACTAGAAGTTGATTTGATGAAAATTGTAAACTGTTTTACCCAGTTTAATGGTAACATCTTGTAAAACTATAGGTCCAGAATCCTAACCAGGATATTGACTTTGATGCAGTCAAGGTCCATTATAGCAGGCTACCTCATGTAGCCCTTTTATAACCACATCCACTTCTTCCCACCTTCATTCCCTCCTTAACCCCTGGCAACCACTAGTCTGTTCTCCATTTGTATATGTTTGTCATTTCAACAATGTTATATAAATGGAATCATACAGTATATAACCTTGACACTGGCTGTTTTTCACTCAGCTTTATTCTCTGAGAGTCTTCCCAGTTGTTAAATGTATTCCTTTTTGTTGCTAAGTAGTATTCCATGGTGTGGGTGTACCAGTTTGTTTAACCATTCACCCAGTGAAGGACATCTTCAATTGTTTCCAGTTCTCATCTATCACGTACAAAGGCTGCTGTAAATATTCGTGTACAGGTTGTTGTGTGAACATAAGTTTTTATTTCTCTGGGATAAATACCCTGAAGTGCAGTTGCTGGGTTGTATGGTTGTTGCATTTTAGTTGTTAAAGAAACTGCTGAACTTTTCTGGCACAGTTATGTCATTTTACATTCCCACCAACCAATGTATGAGTGGGGGTGGGTGTGGGGAATGATGTGGGTGTGTATTAAAAAGGTGGTAATGTTAGGGATCTTTGTGATGATGAAACAGATCTGTATCTTGATTGTGATGGTAGTTACACAGATCTACCCAGATGATAAAATTACATAGAACTACACGTGTGCGCGCACACACACACACACACACACACACACACAAATGAGTGCATGTAAAACTGGTGAAATCTGAGTAAGTTCTGTGAACTATACCAATGTTGGTTTCCTGGTTTTGATATTGTACTAAAGTTATATAAGATGTTATCTTTGGAGGAAACTGGGTGATGGATACGTGGGACCTTTCCGTACTATTTTTGCAACTTCCTATGAATCTGTAATTATTTCAAAATAAAAAGTTAAAAAACTTAATACCAAGTGAATGAAAGGCCCACATTTAAAAGTTAAAGAGCAAAAAATTATCATTAAATGCCAAAATGCGGGCAGCACAAAAGTACTTGATAAATGTTCGTGAGCATACTCAAGCATTCTTAAGTAACATTGGTTTATTCCATGTTTCATGGACAGTACCTGAGACAAGATACAAGCTAGGAATTGGGAACTAACTGCTTTTTCCTAGTCTTTTATCAAAGTGCCAGTAAAAATTTGGTTGCTAATAAAATTGCTTTGATTTTGTTTTTTCACAAGGCTCCAAAAGAAGCGCTTGCTCAATGTGTCTTGGCGGAGATCCCCCAGCAGGTGGTAGGCTACTTCAACACATACAAACTCCTTCCTCCCAAGAACCCGGCTACGAAATGAAAGGAGCTCTGGTCGCCTGAGCAGAGAGAAGTCTTTTGTGCTGTGTGGAGCAATGGATTTCCCTCTGACCCCAAATCATGAATCTGTCATTTTACACACTTCTCACGAACCCCAGCATTTATGATGCAAACCTAGTTCTCTATGGATTATGTCTATTTAAAGCATTCTTTTTTACTTTTTTTGGAGGAAAGTGCTAACTTAATCTTTGCCCAATCAATTCAGTGATTGCTAGTGATTTACAGTAATTGCAGTGAGGCTATTTGGATTAGAAACTGGTGTGAGAAAAGTGGATTTTGTTCTTGTGGTTGTTTACTTTCATATGACGAAAATGTTGTTTTTGAATGTTTGTAAATAAGAAAGAGTGGAAAATTTTTGGAATGATGCGAAGGTTGCTGTGCTTTGCTCTAGGCAATATATGTTTTATAAGCCAATGTCCATGCCTGACAACAAGGGCTTCTTAAATTAGATGATATTGAATTTGTTTCTAGAACTATACTTAGTGCTATTCCATGGGATAAAACTACCTTTACTTGTGCCTGAATTTTGCTGCAATTTAGACATGCACAGTTCAAAACAGCATGCATCCTTATAGGACTTCATGAAAAGTACCGAATGGGAAGGAAAGGCACATATTCAGTTCTTAAAATTGTACAATCAACAAGTAAAAGGAACCTCATGTAAGTAAGCCATTTTTATTTGCCTTCCTAGATCTTTCTTTTTCATTATTGAATACCGTAAACATGGTCAGATTTGACCTTTTCATTGATTGTACGTGACACTCAGGATTCTGTATCTGCATTGATGATAGGTAGCCCTAGATTCAACATTATTAGATTATTTTAATTGGAGTTTGTTAAAATGGTTAGGATGGGTTTATCCAGGAAAACTGTAAGAACCAAACATATAAGGGGAAATTCAGAATTCTATTTCCTTTTAATCAATGAAAGACTTTACTTATTAAAAAAGGCAATGTTTATACTTTCCTTGTTAAGGTCCCATATATTGATTTGTACATTTGTGTAGATTCATTTAGATATTCTCTCTTTTTTTTTAAGTAACATTTTTAGTCTGATTTTTTTAAACTCATGGTAGTGGTTATTAATCAAAATCATATCTTACGTTTTAATAATGAGCTATTTCCTAAATCCAGAATGTATTGTATTAAGCATAAAACCTGTTATAACTTTAAAAAAAAATCCAGTTGCTGCATAGGATAGAGTGTGTTTTTATTTTTTTAGTAGAATTTTTTTCCTGATTTTTACCCTTTAGAACATAATACTTAGCAAACATTACCTTTTCAGAATAGATTCAGTAACGTTTTATTGAGGAGCTGTGTGCCAAGTACTATGCATATCTGTGTATTGGCCAGTCATCTTGAACAATTTAACATTGAGAATTACGTGTTTATTATGGATCTGTAAATGGATGCACCCTAAGCCTATCGGTCTTACTGAAAACTTGCACCACAGCTCAGGTCTCTTGTTCCCTGAAATGTCTGAAGCAAGTGAGCTTTCAGCCACGAACAGCTTTTGGCTTCTCAGAAACTGCTCATTGCCAAGGTCAGTCTGAGAGGGGATCTGCTCGCCACAGTGGTTGCCTAGCCCAGGTGAGCAGTTAACATTTTCCCACTTAGCTCTCCTCTGGATATGTGTTGTTAACCTGAAGGTACCAAACTAGTAGTCTGTTGCTCTATAGTATGTCTCATTAGTTGACAAGTCATCTTGACATCAGTTAGGCGAGAAAAGAACTGATGATTCTTCCAATAGTTCAGAGCCTTTGTTGTCTAAGATGTCCTAATTTCAGTTCTCTTTGTGTGCTTGGAAACAGCATATATATGTTACAGTGGTTTTCAGAATTTTTTTTTTAAACACATGAAGCCTTTAAAAGAAACGATTTACATATGTTCTCAATGTATGGTAAAACAGAAGTAGAGGTTTTCCGTTTGAAGCTGGGGCAGGGTCCACAGCCCCACTCACTGGGCCTTCTCCTCACTCTCGGGAACCAGGTCCTGGCAGCACCTGAGTCACCTGCACAGGACACCTGGAACCACTGGTCATGAGCATTCATTGTTTTTATTGGCCAAATAACAGTACTTCTGTCACCACTGTCACATTGATTTGTTCTTCATAATTTTATATTCTGATTTTAACCAGAATTGTTCCCTTTTGAAAATTAATTTTGTATTATGCATTCTTGATTTGGTTCATCAGTAGATGCTATTATTCATAAGACCTGTGATTCCAGCAACTTAGAGTAACTGATACCTTTTTGCAGTTTTGAATAAAAGCATTTATAATTTCTAAATTATCATTTTATAAAATTCTTATAGTTTCAACATTTTACCTCATCACATGCTGATATAGTATTGTTTTATATTAAAATAGTCCTTTTCCTTATTGTGCCACCATTCATTCAAGTGCCATTAGTTCTTTTTCTTTTTTTTGCCATTAGTTCTTAAAATGCATTTAAAGAAAAAATAAACAAGTTTACTTTTAACACTTCATATAAACAGATATATTACAAACATATATTAGGGTGACAGTGCCCTGGATAGATGTAATATTTCTCACATCTGCCTGTACTGAGAAAATAGCAATTAGCATGGTCATGTCACCTTGTGCTTAGAATTGAAAATTTTAAGATCATAAAAATTTAAAGTCAGATTAGGGATTTACAACTATCCGTTTTGGTAGTGCCTTAAGAGGCAGCCTTTCCAGAGTAAATTCAGGGCCGTGTTGCTGCCTCTGCCTTATTTGACATACTTTGCCTTTTTCATTTTGTAAATTTTCTGGAAAGTCATCTTCAGTCAATTTCTCCTAGTTTCTTTTTTTTTTTTTTTTTTTTGCGGTGCGCGGGCCTCTCACCGCTGTGGCCTCTCCCGTTGCGGAGCACAGGCTCCGGACGCGCAGGCTCAGCAGCCATGGCTCACGGGCCCAGCCGCTCCACGGCATATGGGATCTTCCCGGACCGGGACACGAACCCTTGTCCCCTGCATCGGCAGGCGGACTCTCAACCACTGCGCCACCAGGGAAGCCCTCTCCTAGTTTCTTTATGTGTGTGATTGATAGTCGTGGAAGTGGCACATAAGGTAAGCTAGAAGCTTGGTTGAGATCTCGAGAGACTATTTTATGCTTTTATGGATCTCATACTTAATAAATGTATAAGTTACTAATATATGAATTGATGTTAGATGTATCTTGCATCTGAATTTCCTTTGGATAAAATTATTTTGTGGTGTGAGACAATAGTGCCTTGTTTTCATTTTTATTCTTTCTCTAAATGTTATTCATTGAAAAGTTAGAAATAAAGTTAGTATTTTAATCAGCCTGTATTCCATATTTTACTGAATTAAACAGTTTGGGGTGTTTTATTATTTTATGGGATGTATTCACTTAAAAGATATTGATGCATTCAAGATATTTTTCAGGGTGCAGAGGAACCAAGGGAAAGGTTCTCAGCTTAACGAGAGCGGCCGGAGAATTATGGTGCTCACATTTTATCAGTTGTGTTAAGCAGGACAGTATATTCACCTAACTTTTTTTGTTTGTTTGTTTTTGCGGTATGCGGGCCTCTCCCTGTTGTGGCCTCTCCCGTTGCGGAGCACAGGCTCTGGACGCGCAGGCTCAGTGGCCATGGCTCACGGGCCCAGCCGCTCCGCGGCATGTGGGATCTTCCCAGACTGGGGCACGAACCCGTGTCCCCTGCATCGGCAGGCGGACTCTCAACCACTGTGCCACCAGGGAAGCCCCACCTAACTTTTTAAAAAGTTGCTACTATTATGTTGCAGTCATTTGGGCAAGGTCTTGGGGTTTCATTGGTGACCTAGGCAGCCAAAGTTGCCATCTTCGTAGAAATAAAGGATTGGAGGAAAGAGAAAACATTAAATGAGTAATTGAGAGTCATGAGATTAGTGTGTGATATAACATATTGTAGGGGGGAGACCTGAACCATCTAGCTGTCAAGGAGCCCTTTCTTGAGGATGTGCTGAAAGATAAGAACTGAAAGTTCACTGGATAAAGTAAGTTTAAAGCATCTATGAACTATGGCATTGAATGTTTCAGGAATGGAAAGAATTTAAGTTTGCTGGAATACAAAGTGCAAGAGGGAAAGTGGTGAGAGGAGTGGAGAGGTGAGGTGGAGTGGTGGGTAGATGTTACATCCTGTGAGGGCCTCTGGGGCATACAGGGAGTTCATACTTAGGCTAAAAGTAATGGAATGCCACTGAATGGACTTGGCAAAGGACTGATGTGATCAGAGTTGTGTTTTTGAAAAACTGGAGGGCCTTACATTTTAGGGCAGATAGGAGGGATCCTGTTGCCAAAGTTGCATGGCCAAAATGGCTTTGTCTTGGTGAAGCCCTGATGTGGGATTTGGTGGTGGTCACCTTATGGCAGAAACTCAGCTGTTTGGTTACACACTTGCTAAGTTCTGGTTCTAAGTCAGTTTCCGAATTCTGGGCTTTTCCTGCCACAACCCTGCCTCCACATCAAATCACCTGTTAGCCCCATATCATCAATTCCTTAATGGTTCCAAGGCTCGCTCACACCTAATGATGACACAGATCTGCAGGATTGCCAAACCCTTGCTTGTAGCAAGACCATCACCGTTGTCATTTGTCACTAAGCATGGCTGTGTTCGGCCAAATTCTCCAGACTACTCACAGCAGGTTGTAGTGCCCTTGGAGAATTATACTTTGTCTTGGCTATTGATTCTCTTCTTTCTTTCTTTTTTTTTTTTTTTTTTTTTTTGCGGTACGCGGGCCTCTCACTGTTGTGGCCTCTCCCGTTGTGGAGCATAGGCTCTGGATGCGCAGGCTCAGCGGCCATGGCCCACGGGCCCAGCCGCTCCGCGACATGTGGGATCTTCCTGGACCGGGGCACGCACCCGTGTCCCCCGCATCGGCAGGCGGACTCTCAAGCGCTGCGCCACCAGGCAAGCCCTGATTCTCTTCTTTCTAAAAGGAAATGATCAGTGAGGCAAATATTACAAGGAGAATTGTGACTTCTTACGATAGGGAACGGAGAGCCCTAATATCTTTGGTTTTTTCATAAACTCACAGTGTGCCAGGTTTTATAACAGCACTTGGTCTTCTAGGACTGGACTCAAGAATGTCAGGGGTTGGGGACCTCTAGAGAGTTCTCAGAGAGAAGACTAAATATGAAATTATTAGTCTTTTCAGCCATGCCTTCCATCCAGTAAAAAGTATTTACTTGTTTTTGAACAAATATTTATTGAATAGCTTAGTACTGGTAATCAACAGGTGAAGCCAAAGTGAGTAAAATTTCTTACTAACCTTAAAGAGCTTATGATCTAATATGAAAAAGGAGGCAGTATACGATGCTAAAACCAAGAAGGAATGAGCAAGGTGAGGCAGCCTTTTGCGCTTAGAGTGAGACTATACCTTATGCCTTCAGTCATCTGTGGTCGAGAGTACAGAAGGGACCCTGAACACTGCTTCTGGCAAGATGCTCCTCCCTCCCCGCCCTCCAGCATTCGTTGCCCCCCACCACAGTACTAGGACCACCAGGATGGAGCCTGCCTCTCCTCACAAGAAGCTCGGTCATGATCTCCCTCCCTCTAATCTCCATATGGCTCCTCTGTGCAACCCATATTCTGACCACACCCTACTTCTCCCAAACTCCCCAAACACTTTCACTCTGCCCTTAGGAACTGAGTCATTCATTAGCAAAATCTTTATATCAGTGCTTTTTCTGAACAATCCCTTCATGTTTCTATTCTAATTAAAACCTGACTCTTGAAGAACCTTACTTCCTCTGCAACCCTCTCAAAGTGGTTATTTTCTCTTCCGGATCCACCACTGGGCTTGGAAGCAGGTTAAGTGTCCCCCTGTGTCCTCCTTTCTTCTTTCAGATAAACTTTCCCTACTCTTTAAAACAACCGGCTCTGAATATCATATCCTTAGACTAGGCCATGCTCTATCCCTCCTCCTAATAATCTTATTCTCCCCCTTACCTCAGCCCTCACTCCTAAGGACATATACTAGACCTTATCATTATTGATTGCAAATCCCTCCCTAATCTCAATTTCAAGTATTCCATTTTCCAGTAACAATCCACTTTCCAATTTACTCCCTCTAGTACTAAACTCCAACAGATCATTCTCCATCAGTACCTTCAATCCACTAACCTAAGTGTTCAATGGCCTTCATGGTGTGACCTCCCCCCCACCCCACTTCTTTTCTAGACTTCTTTCTTGCTAGTCTTTGCCTTGGCCATTCTGCTGCAACCACCTGGGCTTTCTTGCTCTCATTTGAGTGTGCCTGGCATCCTCCTAGCTAAGGGCTTTTGCACTTGCTTGCTGTTCCCCTTCCAAAAGAACATTTCCTGAT